GGCTCGAGTGCAAGCGGCGCCCTCCGCGCGCCCGGGCTGCCCCGCGCGGCGCCAAGACGGCCGAGACGGCACAGCGCATCAAGAGGACGCGCAGGCTGAAGGCCAACAACCGCGAGCGCAACCGCATGCACAACCTCAATGCGGCGCTGGACGCGCTGCGCGAGGTGCTGCCCACCTTTCCCGAGGACGCCAAGCTCACCAAGATCGAGACGCTGCGCTTCGCGCACAACTACATTTGGGCGCTCACCGAGACGCTGCGCCTGGCCGAGCACTGCGGGGCCGGCCTGCCGGGGGCGCTCTTCCCCGAGGTGGCGGGCGCCGCGCCCCGCAGCGGCGGGGACAGCCCGTCGCCCGCCCCCACGTGGAGCTGCACCGCCAGCCCCGCGCCGTCCTCCGCGCCGTCCTCCAGCTCCACCTCCCCCCACAGCTGCACTTTGTCGCCCGGAAGCCCGGCCGGGTCCGACCTGGACTACTGGCCGCCGCCGCCCGCCGACAAACACCGCTACGCTCCGCACCTGCCCCTGGCCGGGGACTGCCTCGGGCCTTAGCTGGCCCTCGTCCTCCCCACACCGAGCCCTTGTCCCGGCCCTCCCAGGGCGGCCGTCGCGTCCCGGTGAGGGCTCCCCCTGGGGAGTGGCTTTTGGGGTGCTGCCCAGGCCACGCAGCGCTCCTCCCTGTCCCCGCCCGGAAGTCACCGGGAGCCCTGCAACTGGTCCCGCTGTCTCTTCACCTTCGCTCCTGCATAGAGATGTTAATGTCACTGGAAAGCAGTGTGTCCCGGCAGCTGAAAGAGTTCGCCGTAATAACGTTATCCACAGACCCGGGCGCCGCCGGCACCTGCTTCTTCCCACTGCGGCCTGCGGGCGGTGGGAACTTCACCTGTCAAACCAAACTTTCCCTCTTTGACGCGCACTTTGTTCCTTTTCCCAGATTGGTCACAATGCCCATTGTCCCGTCCTCCTCTTTTCTTTTTTCTTGCCCATTGGGCCATCTGCCTCTTATGATTTATAAGGGGAGAAAAAAACTTGTTTTGTGAGAGGGCCAGGTTAGAAGTCATTGTATAATTTGTAGGCTTTGTGACGATTGAATGCAAGCGTGGAAATTTAGGCCGAACTCGCTATCAAAAGGAAAAATGTGGAGGAAAAGGGGAAAATCAGGAGGGAGGATCGGTTCATGCATTATTCATCTCGACCTTTTAGGGGAGGGGGAACTCCCTCATTCTTTCAAGAGATTAAAAATAAATCAACAGTCTGAAAACCTGAGCAGACACGGAGAATTACCAGGATCAGGCACACACGTGTTCCCTTCTATTTATTATAAAGAAAATTTCCATGGGAAAATTATGTATTTTTTGTATATTCTACAGAGTTTATTCTAGTATGTATTTACGTCTTGAAGAACAAGAAAATCATTCTTGGGATTAAGCTATAAATAAAGTATCTAATTTTCATAAATTTCTGTGTTGTATTCTAACCTTTTCTTGCTGATGTGGTTCTCAGATGCAGAATGAGGTGTGTTTTCTGGGCTTCTGCCCCTGTCAGATAGAATGCTTGTATTTGGGGGCAGTGTTTGATGTGGTGTTTTGCTAAGAAGTTAGAAACAAGCTGAATCTTATCTGAGACTTCAGCCCTAAGATAACAGTGAAACACTCTATGTAAGCACAAAACTGTGTAAAAATCAATGACTGAACAATTGATGAGCAAGAGAGAGAGAGAGAGAGAGAGAGGGAGAGAGCATGTTTAAATGACAACAAAGTCACAATCAGCTCCAAACTTTGGAGATACTTCATTTTTAAAAACCGTGAAGTTGAAATTTCTTGGTGGTGTGTGTAGAAATTTGGTTCATACACTTAACTCCTATAGATGACAGACCTCGTCTGTAACCCGAATGGATTGGGTGGTGAACCCCGAAGGGCCCCTTCCAGCGCACATCTGTGAGGTGCGAGCGCTTGTCTGTTCATTACTGGAAGCTGATTTTGTATTCACCATTTTAACAAGCTAGTTGGCTTGAAAAGCAAACTCCTGCTGGAAAAAAGAAAATATTCAGAGTGGGCTTGAATAGACAATATATGTGAATAGCTCTGCCTTCTAATCTTTGTTAATTACCTAGCCAGAACTTCTTCAAAAGGAATAAAAATTGTGCAACTCTCACTTTCATCTCCAATGCAGAAATGAGTGACCTCTGGTTGACCTTGGCTTAAAATTGACCCTAGTTAAGGCTGACCACATTCTATGTGTAAATCCCTTGAGGGAGAGTGTCTATGAGAACACATGTTTAAGAAAATGACGTTTTTTTAAATGATGGTTGTTCAAGGAACACCCCCCCCCCCCCCGTGAATGCCATATCTGTGTCTGCTTTGGCTGAAGCAATGATACTTTCTCCTGAAATGTCTGTCTGAAACTGCTCCTCCTGTCTATCTGTATGGAAAATATTATACATGTAATATTTTAGCAACTATTTTAATCAAACTCAAGATTTTTGTTTAGTTTTCAAACATTTCACATAAGAAGGACCTGTTGGAACATCCCTTTTAGTTTAAAGACTATGTTATTGTTCCTGATTTAGAATAAACGGATCTCTGGGCGTGGTGACGCATGTCTATAATCCCAGCACTCGGGAGGCTGAGGCAGGAGGATTGTTGCAAGTTCAAGACCAGCCTGGGCTACAAAGTGAGCTGAAGCCAGCCTGAACTGCATAGCAAAACCCTGTCTCCAAAAAAAAAAAAAAAAAAAAAGAATAAATGGATCACTCATTTCTATGGGGAAAAAGCAATAGAATGCTTATTCATATGTGTGCTTTCAGCATTTAAAAAGCTGATCCAGAGAGCAAGACAAATGTAATGTGAGGGTTTGGAAATATCACTTTTGATGACACTTGTGATAAACTCTGGGGCCTCCTATGGGAACAGTTCCTGTTACCTTTCTGTGGATGCATACCCAGGGTATGTTCATCCTTCCGGCTGCAGAAAACTTCCCCAGTGGGTGAGGTGAGCTGATCCCCATCACCACACAATCGAAATGGCTTAGTTGGAGAGACAGGGATGGGCAGATGGCCCAATACTCTTAGTTTTACTTATTATTTTACCTTTTTTTTTTTTTTGAGACAGGGTCTTTCTACATAGCCCAGGCTGGCTGGAATTTGCCATCCTCCTGCTTCAGTCTCCTGAGTACTGAGATGACGGGCCTGTGCCACCGTGTCTGGCTCAAGCGTAAGGGCGCCACAGCTCCTGAGTGTGCGCCTGGGCCTAGCGGGTAGCAGTCTGTCTACAGCATTTCTCCAGGCCCAGACTCATGGCTGTGAGGTCTGAGGCAGAGCGGGGTCCCCATGTACATGAGCCCTGAGTCACATGCGCTCAGGCTCCTCTGCCATCCGGGCTCCCCACGCTTTACACCAACGTTGCACGATTACATTTAGGGCATCCAGTCATCTGTGTGGTTAGGAATGTTCTTGGTGCGTCCTGAGGCCTAGGGCCTGTCTCCTCCTCTCCTACCTTAACCTCCCTAGCTACTGGCGGAGGGTCCTCTTGGCCCCAGAGAGCAAGACTGCTTCCGGCTCTGCCCCGTGGTCACCAAACAGTGATGGCTCTGCTGCGCCCTTGCCTCCTGGCCTGCAGCCATCCCAGCCCGGTGGCTTTGGTGGGGGTTCAGACAGCCCTGAGGAGACATCTCCTGGGACAGCTCCACGCCCCTGCACTATGGATCTTTCCAGCCCCTGGGGCGTTTGCCTAAGGCAGAGAGGCTGAGAGGCTGAGGGCTGGGCTTGTCCTCCGTGGGCATCGCCTCAGCCCAGCTGCGGACCAGCACTGGTTCTATTTATTTGTTCTAAAGTGCTGAGGCCTTGGTATGACTTACTGTTCCTTCGCCAGATTTGTCGGGGCAGGGGACTGGGGATTGAATCCCAGACCTTTGAACTAAGGTATGTCCTAGACATGTTCTCCCTCCCAACTTTAATTTTGAAACAGGGTCTTGCTAAATCGCTAAATTGCCCAGGTTGGGCTTCAGTTTGAGATCCTCCTGTCTCAGCCTCCTATAGTGTTGGGATTAAAGCATGCACCATAGGAGAGGCTGAGGTTTCGGGCTGCACTGCTCCTAAGCAAGGAGCCCTGGGGTGATTAGGGAGGTTCTAGTCTACCCTCCCCAGAGTCCACTCTGATGACCCCACAGCCGGGCACCTGACCTGAAGGTGTGGGATGCATTTGTCCTGGTGTCTCACTATGTACTTCAGGCTATCTTTGAAATCACTCTGTAGCCCAGGCTGACCTCGAACTCATGGCGATCCTCTTGCCTCAGCCTTGGACTCTCTACTGTGTTAATTTAATAAATAGTGTGCCCTCTCACAGCGCCACCATGCCCCACCCTTAGCTTCAAAGTGCAGACTTCTGCGTCAGTAGAAGCAGGGAAACAAATTGTGGACCCGGGTCCAGTCGCTCTGCCTGCCTGGGAGGGCGCTCGGGCCTGGCCCAGTGTTTCCTGCTCTGGCAGGGCCGCCTTGCCTGGTAAATAGCTCCCCCTCCACTGTCTTTATTCCAAAAAAATGGCATTTTGCCTCATCAGTGCTTCGGCGTGGCCCAAATCCAAGGCTTGGAGGCCAGGCGCAGGGGCAGCGAGGGACGCACAGGGCGGGCGCGCGAGGTTCCGGCCCGCGACCCCGGGTCACTTCAGGGATGACCACTTGGCCAGCGTGGAGCCCCTCGCGGGCACCTGCCCCGCTTCTCCTTCTTTTGGGGGGCACAGCTCGGCACAGTTTGGCGGTCGCCGACGCGAAGACACCCTGGCGTCGCGTCTGTGCGGAGCAAATCCGAGCTGAGGTCTCCCTGCGGGCGGGTGGGAGCCGGACAGGGGCGCCCCCCTCTCGGGCTCCAGCTGCCAGCGACAGAAGGACGGGGTCCGGTGCCCCGCTCCTCCCCGCCTGCCGCTCACCCGGGCCCTGTCCTGTCCCGCACGTCTGGATGCCAGAGGTCAGCGCTGCCCACTGAGCTCCCCTCGGTCTCTTCCTCACTCCCTCCTTTCACCTTGGGAGGCGGGCACTGTGCAGGCAGTCAGCTCTCTGTGTCAGTGGTTGTCCAAGACAAAGTCGGTGTCCCTGCGGAGCCGAAAGGATGGCCTTCACAGTTCTTCACGGTGACAGCAGACTCGGAAGGTTTGACCTTAGGGACAGCTGTTCTCACAGTGACAGTGACCTCCCAGCGCCCAGAGCCCTTGTCCCCCTCCCCGGCTGGCCCTCAGATTCAACAGGCTGCATCCGGCCTCGCTGGGTTTGTTGAGTGGACAGCAGCGGAGGCCGTGTGTTTCCACAGGCTCCTTCCCTTCCCGTCCAGGGGTCCTAGCCTGTCTACCTCTCTCCGTCTGCAGGCAAATTCTCACTTGCTTCCACACTCCCTGTCACTGCACTGGAGGAGATGCTGAACAGCGGTAGCAAGGCCTGAAGTCTCTCATCTATTCTGTTTGCTGCAGAAAAAAATAAAAGTGCTACAGTCCACAGAAAAATGGAAAACAGGAGCCTTTACAATGTAGACAGAACTCAGGGCTGGTTTCCATGGCAGTGGCTTGCCATACAGGCTAATTCCACAAAGGGGTCATCTTCCTTTTCAAATGCGTTTATGATGGATTCGTGTGCTGGTTTCCCTGTAACAGCTTCTTGCCTCTGTCAGGCTCCTGGGCTGCTACGTGACCCCAAAGGGGGTTTGTTGCCTCCTTCCATGGCATGAGGACAGTCTAGTTAGTGACCTGAAGGACAGTGGCCCTCCAGACCGGCCACAGCTTCCCCGGTAGCACAAGGCTCAGAAATGAACTCCTGGGCAACTTTGTTTTGATTTTGAGTTTTTCAAGCTTTTACATTGTTGAAACAACCCCAACAAACAAACGTAAGATGGGGTTCACCCTGAGGATTCGCTCATTATCTCCCCCAGGCCGACTTTGCAGATACTTTTGAAAATGACAT